AACTAATAAGGCGCTGTTTTCAAGATGTGATAAATTCTGATGATCTACTTATAAATCTTAACACATTAATATGAAAAAATGGAAGAGCACATTTCTTATCAAGACTATGAGCACATATACATAGAGAAATATAGGATTGAACTAGTTTTCTGTGAAATATAGTCTGAAAATCACATTAGCCTTAAAAGCACAGAGATTGTTAAAATTGTGGCTATTTTGAGCTTGAACTAAATGAATTAAATAATTCTCCATTTCACTTTGCTTGTGAATACATAGTCTGAAAATGATAAATATTGATTGAAACCCACTTGTGAAAAAAAATGGAAATGAGAAAAGTGATTATTCTGAGTAATGGTATTTTCTCCTTCATTTGGAGAAAATTATTTAAGAATAAATGTGCTAGAAAATGTTTTCTAAACCACTGTCAGATAACTGTTTTGAACCTAGGATAATATTTTGTATTTTTTCTTTCAAAAAATAATAAAATACCTTTCTTAAATATAAAATACATATACCTTTTAATAGCGTTACCTCTACTTTCTTGCTGTTAAGATGCCTAATTCACTATTAAACTACCTTAATATAGAATTATATTTAAATGTAAATTATCTCAATGCTGTATCATACATTGTGACTGTCTTAAAAAGTTACATTTCTAGAAGCTTATATTATATGAAAATATTTACATTCTTGAAACATTCTCTTTCAAAAAAGATAGTTTTAGTATCATTTCGAATCTTAAGAAGTTTTAGGATAAATTATTCTTTCCACAGATATTTACCTGGATGCACGGTTAGAGCATGGCCAAAGGAACAAATTATTCATTAAAATTAAAGTTTCAATCTTTCTGATGGCTGAGTATATACAAATAAAACAAACAAACCAACAAAAATGTGCATGTGTGTGTGTACATAAACTCATGATTATCTTAATAAGTTTAAAAGTAAAATGCAGGTATTTTAGGTAATCATCTCTTTCTATGGGAAATTCTTAGGTACTCTCAAGAACAGGCTATTTTAACCCCAATTTTAGTAAACTATTTCCTCAGATGTTATAGTTGGTTTTTCAATTACTTATATTTTCTGTTACTTTTGGATTAGGGTTTGCAATGTAACATTGTTGCAGCTTGAAAATATGCCTTCCCTTGTCTTCTGTTTTATACAGTTTCCTTTGACATGGCTGTGAGGTTGCCCATGATTGCTGTCTTTTTACTATCAATATCAACACTATGTTTTTTTTTTGTTTGTTTGTTTGTTTTTTTGTCTTTTTCTGTGTCCGGCAATGGATCGCAACCCTCAGTGTTGCCCCCGTNCGGCGGGAGCGCCACCACGCTTCCAAGCGGCGCACTGTAGCAGTGCGCCACCGGGCCGGCCTCAAATACTTTTATATTAAATCAATGTCTACTTAGTTTTTTTTGCTATGCACTAATATTTTGTTTTTCATGAGCCTATTTGTTAGAAGTGTCACCAGAATCTTATTTTCCCATAAAATTTTTACATATGTATGAGAAAATTGTGTGTGTGTGTGTTTGTGTGTTTGAGAATACACACACACACACACACACACATCTTTAAATTTACCAGTTACAATAGATAATTTTTAGAGTGACATTTAGCCTTGGAAAATACTGAAAAATAAATCTGTACTATTGACCATTTAAAAATTTTGTCTTTAGACCAATTCTGGTATAGTTATCAAGGTATCAAAACATTTAGGAGTAGCTGCAACAAGCAAGGCCAAATGAACTCCATCTAGTGGTTACCCAGACTTGGTGCAGCCTAATTAACTTTTCAAGGCAGTGGTTGATTATTTTTATTTAACAACAAGCACCATTCAAGATGCTAAAGTTACAGCTGTGAATAAGACAAACTCTTCTCCTTGGTCTCAGTGGAATACCTTAAATGCAATGCCCAGTAAAGCGATCAGAGAACATGGTCTCTTTCTGCAGATACTGCACGCTGAGATGTTTGGATATAACTTTCCAGTGTTTACTTGGTTCTTGAGCTCCATATAGAATTGAAGTTGATTTATATTACTTTCATGTATCTTTCTCATAATTTTCTGCTGGGCAGCTTTGGAGTTCTTAAAATACAGCACTCAATTATAGAGTTTGCAATATAGAAGATAATAAAACACTGAGATAGGTTTTCATCTCTTCTTTTTCACCAGACTCCTTAACCTTGATCACGTATTTCCCCATCTACACAGAGGAAGTGAATAAAAAGAAAAGAAAAAAGTGGTCAGCACTCAGAATTATTTGAACTTGTTC